GCACGGTCTCTGATTGGCTGACACAATCGGCCTCTGGTTCGTTGTCCAGAAGTCGTAACGCTTAGGCACTCTGTTGGTATTACCTGAGAAGCTTGACTCATTACAGTTGTCCAGAAACTGTAACATGTCGACCCGCGGTTTGCGTCATCCCATAAGCTAGGATCACCACAAATAACTTAAAATTAATGTTATGGTAAAACTCCACCGATCAGTTGCCGCAGTGGTTACCCTATTGAAATAGACTGAAAGATGCAGGCATTAGAGTCTTTGCTTCCTCGCTGATTCATGTCGGACAGCCTAGACTACATACGATAAGCGTTGGATGCACAAGCGCCTATTTTCGGATGACCGTTAAACATCAATAGGCATGGTACGACACTAAAACACATTTTATGCGTGCATCGTTTGGTCTGTATATAAACCTGAAACATCGTTTTATGGCACAGTTTGAAAGATTCTACATGTGCTCAATTGATGTTTATTCTTAAATTACGAACATTTCAGTCTTTCTTTTATCATCAGTTCTCTATGTTGTGTGATATCTTCAATATCTTTTCACTGAAATGCGTTCATCTGTCCAGTAAAGGTTTATGCAAATATAAATTCAAAGTATTAGCAAACACCTTATCACCATTTTCAGAGCCCACATGTCAGAGGATCACAATGGCACAAAATGTCCTGTCTTCTTTCTCTAGCAAATCAAATAACCGAACCGTGATGCGATGTTCTCGTTCAGTGTTACATGTAATGGGAAATACTTTCAGTTCACACTTGTTTTTCTTTTATCTGTGGGTCTCTTTTTTGTGGTGACTTAACCCCCGGAGATGATGCCAGTAAAGTGTCTACACGTTTCATTTCCAGATTTTGTGAAAGCGTCCAAATTTGCACATTGTCTTGTGCTTGGTTAAGAAATCGTAGTGTGAAATTTACATCACCTCACAGGCCTAAATGGAAATCATGCCCATGGGCTTGTATCTTCACGCAGTAGTATCACATTCGATTTCGCTTTTACATCGGTAAGAAATATCATCCGTTTCGGTATGAGATAATCTGTATCTTACCAGTAATTTTAAAATACAAGTGTAGTGTGTGTGTTGCACTATAGATTATCTCCAGTGTGCTTAGAAGCACGTTGTTAGTCTTCCTTTTAAGGACGAAGTTGACGCTGAAACCCTCATAAGACGAAGGAATGGAGCGGTAAAAGCCACATTCAACACCGTACACCTACGCTACGCTTTCAAACATTTTCCACTGATAACCATACCAAATAAAGATAAACCGCAGATGTTGACCTCTTCAATGATTGTTTACCCGTTCAGATGCGTTTGTGACACGCTCGCAGTTATCTGTCGGCACGAAAGAACACCATCCGCGCTGGCCGATTCAAAGTGGTTCCGGATCTATTACAAGTGCGATTCTCGCTCACTTGGTAGACACTAGCCATGGTGTTAACCCGAGTGAGGCATTCAGCATAAATTATCAGATTTTTCCGTTGGCCATAGCCAAAGTCATCTGTATTAAACATTTGACCCCCGAGCTATGTGCCCAGAAGTGTCTTAACCAAGCTCTCCATCTCCNTCCATCTCCCCTGGGTTCGTTAACCCACCCCTCTCCCTGTCCAGATACACACATTTTTACAAAATAACACCGATCCCTCAGAACTGGGTCACACGACCAACGTGACATAACTGAAAATCCCTGAAGCACAGATCTGAGGATGCGGTGTGCAACACACATACACAGACACGCATACTCGAAATGAACGGTTCCTCACATTTTATCTTTCTCATTCCAATCCCCTAGGTGTTTTTCCCCTCGTGTAAACTTTAACGGCATGATTATTAGTTATTGAGAACAATTATTTGCCTAAAATTATGTTCTAAATGTGCGTGTGGGCATATTTCGATAATTAGCATTGATTTCGGAAACATTGAAACAAATACGAGAATATGTTTAAAAGGTGGAAAAGATGTGTAGCACGATTAAAAAAGCTCCTTGTTCAAGCTTCACTTGCGTAAATACGGTTGAAGAATTAGTTTTTTTTCCGTTTGGCTATCTTCATTGGCGTAACATTTTCTATTAAAATATTCAAGATATTGCAAATTATACTTTATCTTCACTGTAAAGATAAACTATGATCAATCGTAACCGCGTAGTTTGTTTGGGGTTGAAAAGTTTCCCGAGTTCTCTGAGGTTAATTCAGTACTTCCGCTCACCCCAGTTCGAGCTTGTGAAAACCCTAAATGGAACGAGAAATTTGTGCTACTGATGAATTCTCAAGAAAATCAACCTCCATTCGGTACAGCCCTGCCTCCGAAAGCCTCAGTATGGTCGGAGTGAGTGTCTAGGGTTGCGGCTGGTCACCCTGCCCTTGCACCTCGCCAAATGCTCCCATACGACCAAGCAACTCAAGTAGCCTTTGCTGAGGAAGCTCTACTCACTGCTTTCCCGTGGCGGAAGTGTTTTCCCACCAAATGGAGAGGACCAATAGCTGACATCCGAGACTATAACAGGGATCGTGGACCACTGATAGTTCACCCAGGGGAATTGGCTAAAAACCCTGATTCCAACCCTACCAAGAGGAGGCGTATAAACCACACACAAACATTCGCGGTTGTGGCAGCGGTCACCGGCTCAATTGGGTATCGAGGTGTATTGGGTACCTTGGACGTTTGACCCCGTCCGATTCGATGAATTGGACTTTATCCCCCCAATGGATTGCGGTTTCCGCACACCGCCCAGCTGCCTTGCGGATCAGGCTTTGGTTAGCCAAAGGCTCCGGTGTGAATTCCTCAAGAAAATTTACTTGCCGTGGCCTGGACAACCTAGCAGTATTCGGTCCACATGCAAATCATGGAACGTATTTCTTTTTCATATAGATCAACGTTCCATGATTTATTTGGGACACAGTCTGTCCTCAGACAAGTGTGAGATATAATAATAACAATAATGGGACATCCCGGTTGTATTGACTGAGTAAACAGAGGGTTAAAGGAAGTTTGAGTCTGAAGAACTGTCAGTCGAACTTTGTAATGAAATACAATAATGCAGGTGGTTTCCGGCTGATGAGAAATTTATTCGTCAGTCACTCGGAGAAGATAAAACCGACAAACTGAGGCAGTTTCATCAGCTGATTGGTGATCTATTCATTTTTCTTGCAACCCTAGTCTATACGGATTCTATATCTTCTCTTTGACTCTCTACCGAAAGGTATTTACTTACCAACAACCATCTCCTTGCTGTGCCTGGTAGGAGTTGAACATAGCGTTTGAACACTTTGACTGATTGCCTGTTTCCGCACGTCCAAATTGGAATTGGGCGCGAATTTGGTATAACCCATTGACAGGCTTAACGCGTGCAATTCCGCTCGGGTCCACACAGGACATTTCCTTCGTGCACCGTCTATGGTCAAATAGAGCACGAGACGATTTTGCTCCGTGATTAGAAAACTTTGGCTGGTCACAATCGGATGTGCCAGACGACCGGAATCCCAGTAAAAATAATGTGGACAATCCTGAATCAGACTAGCTCCGTCCGGTAGTTCTAATGTGGAGAGTGAAGTTGTTGCAATGGATGAAACACTGCTGTTCTGGCTGTTGTTACGAGTTGAGACTAATCTACTGGATATGAATACATCATCGTTGAGGCAAACACTGATTTGTACACGAGTTGAAGAGGCTCTATACCATAAATCTCCGTTTCTCGGTTGTTGTACGTAGCTGGCTTGAATCCATCGATCGGATCGCGTGTACAGACCGGTTGATCCCGTCGAGCTTTCCAATCCAAACGATCCTCGTTTGTCTGCACTCAGACGACGCGTATTTCTACTCTTCCGATTTACAGAAATATCGCCACGATTACCACAGTTTAGCCAGCGTTGTGACCAGCCCCGCGATCGGCGCAAAAACTGGGCCAGTTGACGTGTGTTTTGAGGTTGTACTAATCCAGGCAAACTGAGTTCCACTTTTAACAGCCGCACTCCGCATGGAAATCGATGCGTTTTAGGCAAATCCAGATCACGAATCTCT